GCAGTGCTCGCTGAAATGTTGGTTAATACCCGAACATCCGCTGCGGTTCTCACCTGAAAGCCAATTGAATGTGTTGACTCTGAATGACTTCACAGATTTTGCAACCTCGTATAGAATATCTGCACAGTAATATAATTTAAAATATAATTTCACTGCACTTCTATGTGTAACAGTGTAATTTTTTCCACCATGTAGTGTGGCCACAGTATTAAATAATCTGAAAAATGACAGCATCTGTATGAGAGCAAGTGCATAGGATGTCATGCTTTGTTACTTGTTAGAGTCATTAGGTTCCTTATGTCTGTTGTTGAATTTAGTGGCTGTAAAAATGCATTGCATGTATCTGTAAAGGGTTTTTAATAAAAAAAATTCCCATTTGTATTGAAGAATATTACGAGGGACAACATTTTAAATTTGTTAGAGAAGTGATGAATTTGGTAAAAGACCCACCAGCAACTTATATAATACAGATGCTGGCGAATCTTGTCCGTCATAATGGAGTGGTTTTATTAAGATGGTGTTATGCCACATACAGCGAGGTTAGCCCTGGACACGGTGCTGTAAATTGTGAAGGGTGCCTCATTTCCAGTTACCAGTTTCTCTTATCCTTCATATCTCACACTCCTGTGTACCTTTGGGGATTTTTAAAGAGATCATTTATTCAGTGGTGCCGAAGGGGTGGGCTAAGGGCCTTGTGCCTGTAGGGGCCACGTGTGCCTCGCGCTTGTATGTATCGGAATTGCCATTCTTCCTTATATTGTTTCTGTAGCTAGCCTTGTATGTGCATTTTTATCTGAGACTGACAATGAAGAAGGAATGTGATCAAAGCCTGTGGAGAGCAAATGCCTTTCATAAAATGCTGTCGTTGATGGTCGTTTTGTAACGTCATCACTCTTCTTTAGTGTTTATGAGTGACTGGCAGTTGTTAGTAGCTTTTATTAGTATTCTTCAACACTGACATACTTCTCAGTGTTTTAACTATTGGTGGTGGTGTTTGGGTTTGTATGTTAATATTTTGTGTATTAGACTTATTATTCAACATGTTTGATGCTTTAAATTTAAATACATTGTAATTATTGTTGGGGCCAAGAAACTGGCGAGGAAGATATATGTCAGTCACTTCTAAGCTGTGAAACATTTTATGGTGTGCCACCGTGTGTCTTTGACAAAGTAGGGTGGGCTGCAGGCAAAAAATTTTTTTGTGGAACACTGCGCTAGAGAATTACATAGCTTCGGTCAGACTATTCAAACATTTTTATTTATTTATTCAGTTCCAGATAAAGCAGAGAAAGATATTTTTAGGGTGAGTGAGAATTGAACTTTTCTCATTAGTAATTTACCAGACTGTAGATCCATCACGTTCAGTGCTTGTGGATATACAGGTTTACAGAGAAGTGCTGTTAAAGTTACTATAAAAGTATAAACTGTTTTTTTTAAAATTATCATTATGGCATAACAACTTTCTGGCCTTGGTAGACAATCTCCATTCAGACATGCCATTAATGCAATAATTACCCGTGTTAGGGTTTATGGCTGAAGAAAAGGAAGGAGTTGGTTGTCTGTTCTAGTGAGGAAGTTTTCAAATCATTAAAATTATAATAATTTAAAACGTGTAGGTGCTCTTTAGGGGCCTTGCTAATCGGTTTTGCCCAGGGTCTCACGATTGGCTCCACCAGCACTGAATCTGTTATTATCCTATGTTGACGAAATTTACAAGGAAAATGTCACGTACTGTACATTACACCACGTGACCTTACTTGACGGGTTTTCAAAAATTAACCACAACTTTAAGTGTGCATGAGCATGCAATGTACAATTTGAGTACACATGTTTTCATATCAGTTCTTTGTGATTTTACATACCTCATTGCCTTCAGAATTTGTTTATTGGTGATGAGACTTTTGGAATCGTACAGTTGCATTTTATTTATGCTTATAATTAAAAGTTTAATCTCACTTTTTAAAATCTTTTTAGGGTAGCTCTCTGAAATAGGTTGAACTCCTTTACTGCCATCATCTTATTTATTTACCTTTTGATTGCTATATCCTATCGTCATGTACATGGCATAATACTAAGTCTTGAATTATGTATGATAAATAGTGAATCACATAAACTTGCTTCTTCGTTGTAATAGAACTGAATTAAATACCGGAATCAGTTACTAGTTAAACATGTAACTACGTATATTTTGACATACAGATGCAACCTCCCATCATGCATTCATGTTATGCTCTTTATGTGAAGAATGCAAAAAACTTGATGTAATAAGTATTTCAGGCTATTTTATACTGTGCCACACTGTACATTATAGCTTGGAAGTTTATCTTTCACTGTCCATTTATGATATTTAAAAATAATTTCTTTTAATTCAACTCTGAAGGGTTCTGACGATGGTGGATTACACTTAAATTATTCATTGTCTGGACTTTTTTCCACCGTCCCCGTTTAAAAAGAAGAAAACCGTGATGTTTCGGATACAGAGCTAGTTTCTGAAACGTGGTGTTCTTCTTTATAAACGAGGACGATGAAAAAAAGTCCAGACAATGAATAATTTTAAATTTCTTTTAAGCCACTGTTGGTCTTGGAATGATTCGTATAAAAATTTACTTCTTGTGACTTCAGTACGTAAGGAGTGTTATATATAGTGTAATTTTTGTATGGAGAGTGAACGATTTGTGTGTGTTGGCTCCATACTGAGGTCCCTGTCTCTCTGCAGTGGAGGAATCGTCCCCATCAGCTCAATCGACGACCACCATCGCCAACTTGTCCAAGCCTACAGAGTTTGGCCGATTTCTTTCTGTCCCTGGAGCTGGTAACCTAAAGCAGCTTATTGCTATTGCTTGGATTTTGGCTGATTGACTGGATGGCTGTCATTGTCTCGTTATCCTATTCCACAGTAACACTGCTATCTGTTCACACTGACAGCATAAACGTAAAACATTTTTTATAAATGGAATCGCAAGCCCTATGTGGGAATACAACATGTTTTGAATGTTTGTCAGAAATGCTTAATGTGTGGAGTTTTTAGCCAGATTTCCTTATTTCATGGGAGAAAGAGGCTTATGGTGTTGTCATGTATGTGTGTGTGCATGTTTGTGCGTATGAATTTATGTATGCACATGTGCTTGTGTGCATGTATGTGTGCGCATGCATGCATGTCTATCTATCTATCTATCTATCCACCTATCTATATATATCTGTGCACCCTCATACTAACTTTTGAATGATTTTCATAAAACTAAGTGAACGTCATGCCACTACAAGCTTCTCCACCTTTGTACTTTTCAATTTCCTCCCATCATTAATATCAACAGACAGAAAGGTGTGACTTCTCTGTTATGCTCTTTATACAAAAAGGGAAATGATAAATCACAATATGGTTTTCAATTGGAAAAATGATAGTCATGAAATCATTGTTTTTAGGTTATGATAATTACAATGGATGCTTTAGGCATGTACATTTGTATTCTTGTTAATTTTTAAAAAAGTTATAAATAGTATAATTTGCTAAACAAGTGGAAGGTTGTTTTGATAATTAAACACATCTTTCAGTTGGAATATAGGATCATTTGAGTACCACAGTTCACCTTTGATCTTTATCACGTGGGTGTAGGGGATTTAATTCTCCGTACTGTGGGTCTGCTGGCTTTATTCTAAATCTAGTATAATGGTAGTGACATACTACTGCAACACACAGCCAGTGTACAGTGAGCCATGGCGCATGGCTGATAAATGCTAACTTCTTTGCAGGATAATAGTTTCTTGTATGTGAGATGTATCATTTGTTAAAGATTTAAGTATATTTCTTTAACCCTTTCAATGGGATACAGTTGATTGTTATCCTCTGATACTTTTTCTTTGTAATACAAAGTTTTGTTTTCCATTTTCTGTTCTGTTGCTTTGTAAGTCCAACAAAAGGATTACTTCTTCAGTTCACCATCGTAGCTCAGTTGGTAGTGTGCAGTTGGTTTGGATTTGATTTCCACATGTGCTATTTTTATTAATTGGCAGATCTGTAACGGCTGTGAAGCCTGTAAGGTGTAATTTGTTTTTTAAGTTGTAGTATTTGATTTCTTTCTTCCTTTATCCACATTTGCAAATGAGAGGATCACAATTGATCTCTCAGTGTGTTACGAACAACATTAAATTTTTATTATGTAACACCTTTTCAGCCACGGTGGTCTAGCGGTTAGAGCTCTGGCCTTGTAATCCTGGGGGTCTCGGGTTCGATTCCCGGCGGTGCCCGAATTTATAACTTGTGTTGGGCAAGGCCGTGGTCTAGGCAACACGGAGTTTTCCTCCGTGGCATCCCAACAATTACCCCATTCACACACAGAAGAAGGCAATGGCAAACCACTTCTGGATCATCTGCCAAGAACGTATATGAACAGGTCCCAGTCCGAGAAAAGGATGGAAGGATCCTGTTCATATGGACCTGTCATCAGACAGAACACTAAATAATAACACCTTTTCAGAATGTCTCGGTCAGTTTGACTACTAGCGTTCACATTCTTGCACAGAACTGGTTGTATGTTTGATTTACTCTTCCGTGGTGACAAAGAGTCCTTCCACAATATTTGTGTATGTGATCGGAAAATTCCATTTTGTTGGGAGCAGCCCCAAACACTGAAAATGATATGTTGGTAATTAGGATCTTGTTTCAGACAATAATTTGATAGGTGCGTGCACACAGATAACTAATGCGTCATGCAGTTCATAAAACTAATTTTACAATTGGAATGTGCTAAGCATCAGTAGTAAAGCATGCTATGAGGCTTTGGGGGCTAAGCATGGTAGAGACAAAATGCTTGCTATTCTTCTCCCATGCTCTAGTGAGTTACCATCACTTTCTCATTCACTTTACATAAATATAAATTTACATTACCTTATTCTTTTTCGCTTGCAGTCAGTGCAAGATTTATTTAGTTTTGAGAATTTGTATCTTTACATTGCTATTGAAAATGCCTTCTATACGTCAAGACGTCACATCATACACAGTTGTAAATTTCAAAACTGTTTGTTTTTCTTTTGAGGAAGGAGGTGAAAGGGAGGACACGATAACTTTTGAAGAAACATCTTACAGATATGACTTTTCAGATGGATGAAATCAGTCACACTCTCTAACCTATATCCATGAACATTTCGTTGGCATGATTTTTGTTATCCTTGTATTTTTATGGTTTTTACACAATGTATCATAACCTTAACAATGAGAAAATTGTTCCTTTGAAAGCTGCTGTAAATCAGTTTGCAGTTAATAAATTGACTTCAGAATATTTGAAACAAAAAGGTGTCCAGCTTAAAAAATAAACTAAAACAATGGGAAAAGTCTGTTAAATGTTTATAGATGACAGTGGACAGGATAGTAAAATCATGAACATTTTCCAAGCATATTTACATATTAAGTACATCCGTATTTCAGTAAGACTCTGTTTGAATGTTGAATTAATATATAGTTTTTATTTTAAAAACATTTTATTCTTTAATTTGTAAATCGTAGATCCTTATTGGGTTAGTTTGCGTTCAAGTTACTTTCTTACATTTTTGTTTTTGGTGTCAGACTTCTCGAAACAAAAATTGATGTTATGTAGCTCAGTATATTTGGCAGAACAATTCCATAATCCATGGTGTATGGTGGAACCCTTCTGTCCATAACAGTGGAAGGAATAAACAAAATTATTTATTCAAAATTTGAGAGTTAATACATTTTTGCCTCTTTATTCTGAAAGTTGAAGAGAAATCTTCTAATCTCTGTACATCTGCTGATAATCTGTGTGCTGTATAGGATCCTGGTAGTTCTTGTGGATTCCAAAAACTGGAAAAAACACGTTTGAAAATTTTCAACATTCCTCTAATATTAAATATGATATTTTTCCAATTTTTATGTGGTTCTTCACACTTACGTAGCATGTGTTTCCAGAACTCCCCCCCCCCCCTGGAAAAATTTGATTATGACTGTTTATATTTTTGGTTTTTAGGGTCAGCAAGTACGCCTAGTACCCAGGGAATGGAACAGAGCCACAGTACAGCATCTCTAAGTCGCAACTTAAGTAGTGGCTCAGCATTAGGAGAATTAAATGGCGAGGGAATCCACCCTAAGGTAACTAAGAGAAAATAGTAGAAAAAAAAAACACTGACATTAGAAACGTGCAGGAGATGCCATTGTTTCAGAACCCCACAAAAAACTTAGTAACTGTAAATGTGGATTACAAAAGTAAATTCTATTTATTTTAAAGTCATTATTGAAAACATGTTTGTGTTCTCTTGAAGTCCGTCTTCGTATCAATCCCATAAATGTGAATTTCCTGACTGTGTAAAATTATTATGCGTGGTCTTAATTCTGACAACCATTTTCTGATAGGATAGAAAAGAGGAAGTTGGTTGATGATCATGTTGCAAGTAACTATAAATGTTTAATGAATTTTTGGGTTGTGGAATGAAATTTTTTCCTTTAAGGGATTTTGCTTTTTGAGAAGTTACGGAAGATGGCAGTTGGCAGCAGTTCTTGGCCATTTGTATGAGTACAAGTCCATTTTTATCTTTCAAAACACTTTTTAATGTTTTGATATTGGGCAGTAATGTATATTGGTGCCTTCTCACTAATACTGAGGGCCATTTCGTACATCTAGGTTCTTGCACTTCATGACTAATTATCGTGCACATGTTGCTCTGGTTTTCCTCATTATTAATGTTAACACTGAGGCAATTTGGATTTGCTTACCCTGGAATGAGCCTGGTACTGTAAGTTTGGTTAAATCTGTGGTGCGCACAACCGCAAGGAGATACCAGTAAACTGCATCGCTCTTCTCAGTAATGACATTTGTCTGTGTTTATAAAAGTTTTAAATCATAAATATGAAGCCAAGTATCATTAACCCACCAAGATAGAAATTCTTTTCTATATATTCCTTAAAACTAAATCAGTTTTAAGAATAATAAATTTTCCTAATAATATAATTAGTCATTTTTGAACAAAGATTTAAACAGTAATTCATTATAAATGTGTTTTTGGCAATGCTTTTTCGTAGATAAGAGTCAAATTACGGTACTTTCTAATCTGATTATGATTGTTAAGCGAATCAACCCATTGACCAACAAACTGTTACACTGAACCATTCTGTGACTTTACCTCAGTAGTTAATTGTTCATGTGACCAGAACAGTGGCATGAAGTAAGTGCTTTACTTACTTACTCCATGGAGCCGAGTCCTCCCTGGGAAGCCAACAGTCACTCAGCCACTCAAGAAATTTCCAACATTTTATGGAATCCAAAGGTTCATTACATGTTCACATAGTCCCTGTCCTGAGCCAGATGAATCTAATCCATACCACCCCATCCTATTTTTCCAAGAGTCATTTTAATATTAGCCTCCTACCTATGTTTAGGTCTTCATAGTGGTCTCTTTCCTTCTGGTTTGCCTACCAAAACCCTGTATGCATTCCTCTTTTCTCCTATGTGGTCTACATGCCCTGCCCGTCTAAACCTCCATGACTTGACCAGTCTAATTATATTTGGAAAATTGTGCAACTTACAAAGCTCCTCATTATGCAACCTGGTATAGGTGCCACGGGAACGTAAGAGAGATTTTTGTGTGGCTTCTCTACCTATGAATTTGCATGCCTATTACAATAATTAAATATTTCTTAATTTCAGGGTAATACTCATTTTATGAGAAAAATCCCACCTGGTGCTGAAGCATCCAACATTTTGGTTGGAGAAGTTGATTTTCTAGAGAAACCATTATCAGCATTTATTCGACTGAATCATGCAAATTTCTTAGGAGATTTAACAGAAGTTCCTGTTCCAACTCGGTTTCTCTTCATTTTATTGGGACCAGCAGTAAGTATATTAAGTATTAAGTCACTGTACAGGTTATTCTTTTCAAAAGTTTGTGAATTTGAAACATACCTCTGTCATTCAGCATATGTTTTTTTGGGACTTGATATGATAGTCTTCTTTTTTTTATTTTGTGGCAACTTTTATTCAGAATATAAACAAGATTGTCAAAATACATTAAAATTGTTGGACATAACGTCAAAGTGCCACCACCATTCTTTTCTTCAAAAGGGGCTCTACTGATAGTTAATAATTATTTGACTTTCATATCGAAGCAACGCGTCAAATACTGACAAGGCCAAGACTCATGTGATTTAGGAAATGCTGATGATTCACATGTCATGTTCCATATTGTTTTCTTTACTTCTATTGCTTAAAAAGAATAGTTTAATGTGGCTTCTACAACATGTTGTTCCCAGGGTGGACTGGCAAACTTTCATGAAGTGGGACGTGCCATGGCTACTCTTATGTCAGATGAGGTGTTCCACGACGTGGCGTACAAAGCTCGCAACCGTAATCATCTGCTGGCAGCAATAGATGAATTCCTGGATGCAGTAACAGTGCTTCCTCCAGGAGAATGGGACCCCTCCATAAGGATCGAGCCTCCAGCTGCAGTCCCTTCTCAGGTATTTTAATTATAATATTTTAATCTTACAGACAAATAGAATCTGAAAATACTTACCCTGTTTTCTGAAACATAACTTAAATTTACGTAATTCCCCTACTTATTCTAGTAGATAATGACTGATATTTTAGAGGATCTTACTATCTGGGTCATCATCATGATGACAGACGCAGTATGCTTGTCTGAAATGTTAGTCAGCGCCAGGGTATACTGTGTAACATCCTAGAAGATAAGGCATCTTCATACTCGTTGGCATGGGATTACAAAATATTACCAAATATTTTGCTTTGCGTGGTAGAACTCAAAATTATGCAACTCGTATCATCATTTCGTTGTTGTCATATTATTGCTGTTGTTTTATGTATGTCCTGGGATTGTACAATGTAAAAAAAATAGCGCGTTCAGAATCTGTGTTCAGTGTTTGGTTTGATAGTGACAGTTGATGAATCTTGGAGCTGGGCATGTGAATATGTTAACAGTTACAAACCTGGGAAATATTAGTAATTTTGAGGTTAAACCTGGCATATTTAACATGATTGGAATCTGTAATATTGGAAATTATGTTAAGAAATAGATAACATAATTGTATATTTCATGATACCCTTACCATATTGAGTAGAGCATTCAAAAGGATATGTTATTCCCAGAAATTCTTGTTTAAAACTGAGTATGCACTAATGGATCACTTTGTATAATCATTAGTTTATAGTTCCTGCTAGCCTCAACTTACAGACTGAAGCATTTGAAGGAGGGATTTTATCAGAAATTCTTCACAATATTTTCTATTCTTCAGGTGATCCTTCTCATTCCAAAATGCCAACAGTGAAGTCAAATACCTATGAGTTAAGAATTTAATTGTTACAAAGGTGACAATTGTAAATTAATTTTGTCCACAAATGGTGAAAGTTATTATTAAATTGCTCAGTGAAGTAAACCACGTGTATTTTGTGCAGGATCAAAGAAAGAGACCACCTGAAAAACAAAAGGATGAACCTGATGAAGAGGAAGATGAACAGAAGCTGAGGGAAGAGTCAGGACTGGAAAGATCAGGAAGACTGTTTGGCGGTCTCATTAATGATATCAAGCGGAAAGTACCTTGGTAAGCAGTCATTTCTCAGAGAGACTATATTGTGTTTGTTTATAATTCTTAAAAGTTGTTTGTTTGAAGTACAGGCGACTCTCGGTTTATGAACATTTGATTTACGAACATTCTCTATCACGAACGTCACCATTCAAAATTTCTTAAAGTCGCCAATAGGTAGAGATCCTTATAAAACGAAATGCCAAATGTACAGTGAACATAATTGGAAGATTTAAATAAATAAACTTTTAAAAAATGTATTTATTACAATAATTATCAGAAAATTATTATTTGATAATTATACTGAACTCTTCTTGGTTAATAAAACTAATCTAGCCAGTAAGCAAACGTTGGTTTACATGCCACGCCGTGTAGAATGTTTTCTCGTGGGGAAGAAATCGGTGATTCCGCCTATTATAATATAATAGGATCATCGCTTGCTTTGCCTAAGTTATCTTAGGCGGTCAAATTTAGTTCTGCATTTGGTGACTTTAAAATATGTTTTTAAAAATTTAAGCGATCATGGGTCCAAAGCGAAATAGTAGTGCTGGTGCTGATATTGGTAGTAATAAAAGATGCAGAATTAGTTTAGAAACTATGCTAGACATCATAAAAAGGACAGAAAGAGGTCAGAAGCAGGTGGACATAGCTCGTCATTATGGTTTGAACCGGTCGAGTATCGTAACGTATACGATATGTATCGTAAAAGCTCAGGAATGCAAGATACACGTAACGAACAAAAACATATAATGAACAACGTCTTGGATCAGAGCTCGTTCGTAAACCGAGAGTTGCCTGCAGACTACATTTTTTCTTGCTTTGAGTGGATTAAAGTTGATTACCTACTATTAAATTTCTTTATTCTGTGAAGGTTTTGTATGACAGTTGTATGTTTGTATACTATTTACCTGCATATCATACAACGCAATTTGAGACATGTTCAGGTGTGAGGTTGGATGACTGTATTAATACACTTTTCTTATCTTATAAGGCAGGTATTTTTATTATATCATCATATTCGCATGACTGCCCCTAAAAATATTTTTGAACCAGTATACAGATTTTTATGAAAGTAGGTGGCAATGTCACATCATTGAAAGCCAATCTACTTTTTGTACTCATTAATATGTTGCCATTAGTAGTATCAATGTGGTGACCAAACAAACTTATGAGGTATGGTTCTAATGCTTCTTAATGTGGGATTCTGAAATTTTGTGTAATAACATCATAATCATGATTTCCTATCAAGGATTGGGCCCTTGGACCATTCTGGACAGTTGCTCAAGGCAAGGTATTTTTACATGCCATAAATCTATGACATAGGACCATTGGCTTTAATTCTCCTCTGAACGAAGTCATGCTATGGATTTTTATCATCCTTAAAAATCCATCGACCCCAGCTGGGTTTGAACCCACAAACTTTGAGCCCAGTGGCAAGCACTAGACCACTGAGGGCGTAACAAATTTTATGTGAAACACATTTCTGTACATATATTAAAACTTAACAAATATTGGGATTAATAGAAGATTTTAAAAGGTTATATTTTACATCTTGAAGTAAATAGTACTGTAATGGAAATTATGCACTGAAATAGAACCTCAAGTGTTTAATTATTAATTTAAGATTCCCCTGCATTTTGAGATAACTTTTCGTTAGTTTTTATTTTCAGTGATAATTGTTCAAATTGATAGTTTAGCAACATTATGCAGTTGCTTAAAACAAAGTATTTGTCAAATGCAAATTTGTAATATTCTGAGGGTACATTGTATTGGTATGTTTGTAATTTTTGTATTATATGTAAAATTTATGGGTTATTATTTAAAATTATGGATTGATACTGTCAAAGTTTACTTATCTTAAGGTATGTGTGTTACAGTGATTTTCATGGCAACAAATATTAGACAGATGGCAGTATGATGTATGAATTGCTAGTGTTAGATTTGAGGTTGAGAGTGAGGATGATGATGATGCCATTATTTTGTTTTTGTAGACTTGTTAGTAAATGACAATGTTTCAAAAAAGTATGCTGTCTCAATCTTCCGGGCGGAAGATGGATGCAGTATGTTTCCATGAAATGCTGGCATCAATCTCTGAGTCCGTACAATGTCTAAGAGTTTTGAATTAAGTACCTATCTTATTAGGATCAAATCTCATTGCAAAATTCCATCAATATCCAGTTTTGGGAAACACATCTAATGATTAATGTGTGGAGAGAGCTCGACAGACATAATGAACTTAAAATTGTTCTCCTCAAATAATAACTGCCTTTGATGTGTGTTAATTAGTTAATACTTGTTTGAAGATATCTGTCTTCTGTGTTATTGCGCTGTGTAGTCTGGTCGATGTTAACCAACGTTTCAGAGGTCATACTGCCTCCGTCATCAGGGCGCAATAACCCAGAAGACGGATATCTTCATACTCACCGCTGTGAGAACCTCAAGTCTTACATAATACTTGTTTAATTTGTTTTTTAAGTGTTGTTTAATTTTGTAAGATCTTCTTACCTGAGCTCAGGAAAGTATGTTCAGTAAAGGGGCTTGATACAGGCCCAATAACTAGTGCCTGGTTCTTAATGGGCAGGGATTTTTTGTTTTCCGCTGTCCAGCCTGGCTCCTAGTCGCGCTCAGTCTCTTATGCTTTTGGTACTAAAAGTTGTGTATTCAGGGAAAGAAAGACCTTCCTACTCCTTTGTGGTGTTTGAGGATATAGCATTGTTTTACATTTTTCAGTATCATCGAAAGTGTCCCGGGTTCAGCTACGCTGTTGCGGTTTACAATAAAGTTTAAATTGAAGATATTTTGATCATTGTTTATTTGCTCATTCACATATTCGAAATAATTGTTATGAAGCTGTTTACATGCTGTTTTGTAATCATTATTTAGGTACTGGTCAGATTTTAAGGATGCCCTGGCCATGCAGTGTGTAGCTTCTTGGATCTTCTTGTACTTCGCTTGCCTATCACCCATAATTACATTTGGCGGTCTCTTAGGCCATGCGACGGGAAATAACATGGCTGCTATGGAGTCCTTGGTGTCTGGTTTTGTGTGTGGTATAGGCTATGGTTTCTTCTCTGGGCAACCACTAACCATCTTGGGATCCACGGGTCCAGTTCTAGTGTTTGAGACCATCATGTATGAATTTTGCAAGTGAGTATGCTCATAACTTTGCACTAACAGGTGTAGTAAGTTTTATTCCACTTTGAATACACATTTTATAATGAATTCTGTGATTTTACATACCTCATTGCTTGCCATGTTTATTATACATTGTCATATATAAATCTGATGTAAAGATAATCACGCACTATAGTTTTTGTTAAATGACGTAAAAATTATAATACTGATCACAGATAGTTTGTGTAACCTTAATTTTATGAAAATAGATTGTTCAAATCCCTTTACTTTAACTGTGGGGTGAATAATAGTTTATTATTATGCTACTGCAGTGCATGGCCAGCTGAATATGCATAAGTTGTAACGCATGACTGATAAAGGTTAATCTCAATGTTCATGTCACTACCATAATGTTTCTTTATTTTGGACCATTGTCTTATTTGTCACATTTGCATGGCTGTGTTGTTACACTACAGACACATATAACACAGCTGACAGCAGAGAAAGATCCTTGCTTCCCATAGATCCCACCTGAGATTATCCTCCCATCTACGTCTAGGTCTCCCCAGCGGTCTCTTCCCCTCAGGCTTCCCAAATAGTGGACCCAACCAACCAGATGGCTTACGGAACCCGAAGGTTCATCACCGAATTAACCAAAGCCCTCCACCGGACCCTGTCCTGGGCCAACAAAATCCAGTCTCCTTCAACTCCTATCTCCCATAGATCCCGTCTGACATTATCCTCCCATCTACGTCTAGGTCTCCCCAGAGGTCTCTTCCCCTCAGGCTTTCCAACCAATACCTGGTGCACACATCTTGTCCCATTCATGCTCACCACATGCCCCGCCCATATTATTCTTCTTGATTTAATTACCCTGACAATATTGGGGGAGGAGTGTGGTCTTGTGGATATAATTTGTGTAAGTTTAGAGGGGTTTCAAAGTTGCACTTGAAGCTTATTTTTGGGGTGTGATCCATTTTCAGGTTGCATATTGCAGAAAGTACAATTTTCTCTGTTTTCTGTTGATTGTTTGATAGTGTGAGTCAGCGGTTCTTTGCATTTCGGTGCTTTGCGGCACACTTGGGATATTCATTTTTTTTGGCACACAATAGTATTTTTTAGCGGAATTGGTGACTGAGTTGGGTTCTGCTCTTTGTGAGTGACCAATCAGCGCAGAGAAGGTCTGTTGGTAAGCATGGAGACCTCGGTGTGCTCAGAAAACTCGTAGTAGAAGCATCGGCAGCCGCGCTGCATTGTTGCCAATTCTTAAATGTTTTTTTGCGTAGTGTTGTAACCATTCACTGGAATCCAATGTTCCGCGATGCTACATCTGGCACCACTCTATGCTGTTTCCTCACTATCTTGCCCCTCCACCTACCACCACTACTTCCTACCATGGCACAGTACATATGATTGATGCACGCTTCAGCCGTCAATTCAACTGAAAACTGTTATAGTATTAGAATACAGACCTGAAATTTATAAGAGCCACACCTATTTTTAAGTAATGTAATTTATTTGTTTTAAATTTAAATTATTGTAAAACAGAAAGATGATTACATTTTTATACATGTATCAATTTAAAAAGCTTTAGCTTTGGAGTGGTTTCCAAATTTTGTATAATGCTTCCTACTTAGCTTAGCAAAGACTTCATTGTGAACCCCAGCCATTTTACTTTGTGTGTTTGCCTGTGTATAAAGAATACCATGGTCATTTTTTCATTTTTAAAATCAAAAACTTTTAGGCTCTTATCAAGATTTTATAAATATTATTGAAACAATTCACACGTGTAATTAATCAAAATTTTATTTCTAGTCATTCTGAAAGAAGGTTTAATGCAGGAATGAGTATTTCTTTACAGAAAGAGTAGGCCACATTGAAGTTCATAATAATTCAGCAGCCCATCAGCTCCTGAGGATATTAATGATTTGTGAAATTTTCCATTTCTATCCACCGTTGCTAATAGGTGTATTTTTTTGTTTCCAAGGTTCTTAATTGAAACATTTGTGACTTATTTTGTTCATTGGTATGTTACATCACAAAGGGAAGGTGGATTTCTGTACTGTAATAAAATACAAAACACTACCACTTCTTTGTTTTGCAGAACATCGTTGTCTGTCGGTCTCAGTTATATATAATGATGCGGTATTAACAGTTATATAATTTTTAATTTGTATATTTAATTTTATACAATCATGCTTCTGTTCAAAGTCTTGTGGTGCATTGGCAAAAGCTTGTGGTACACTAATATGCTGCAGCACACAACTTCAGAACCATTAAAATTCATTATAGTGTAGACAAGTTAACAGCATAATTAACATACAGGATATACTAGTTGTCGATTGAGAAGACTCCTGGTTTGAATATCAGGATCAGTCATTATTACAGATTTTTAATTAAAATAGCTGTCTTCTGTGTTGTAGTGCCATTGATAGAAGTTTACCAACATTTCAGAGGTCCTTGCTGCCATCATCATCAGGGCAATGAACCTCTGATACACTGGTAAACTTCTACGAGACTACACAGCTCTTAACTGAAGGCAGCCAGCAATCTTTGTACTCAGCATTGTGAGAACCTCAAAAACCTGAAAAATACTTTTCAACTAGATAAAACATATAAAATACTTTTTTATCTAGACCATGAACTTCCCCTCTCAACTGTTATCCAGTTTGCATATCATTAATATCTTGACATAACATATTTCCTCCATGTTTTATATACAATTCTGGAACGTGAACAAGCACAAGCTAGATGATATTTATTTTGTACTAACACAGCACTTATTAAGATATTGTAGGTGCGTCATATTGTGATTTATTTAAATAGTATTAAAAATATATTAAAATTGGCCGTCAATCACAATATAAGATAATTAAAAGATTAAAATATCATTTTTTTTCGTTCCTTATCGAGTACTCGATTTACATGTGGAACATTTACGACATGTTTCGGCTATCAATAGAGCCATCATCAGGTGTTATGTTATAAACTTTTTAACTGAATTACTGAATTTTACTGATTTTTTAATGATTTTTAGTTTTCATTTTTCTTATCATTTTTCTCATCCTTCATATTGTATCTTCATCCGTTGTTGTGTCACTAAAAATCATTAAAAAATCAGTAAAATTCAGTAATTCAGTTAAAAAGTTTATAACATAACACCTGATGATGGCTCTATTGATAGCCGAAACATGTCGTAAATGTTCCACATGTAAATCGAGTACTCGATAAGGAACGAAAAAAAATGATATTTTAATCTTTTAATTATCTTATATTGTGATTGACGGCCAATTTTAATATATTTTTAATACAGCACTTATTGTTTATTTTCTTTCAGATCAAAGGAATGGGATTACATGTCATTTCGTTTCTGGATTGGAATGTGGATTGCACTAATCCTCCTAATCTTGGTTGCTATAGATGCAAGTGTCCTAGTGTGCTACATCACACGGTTCACAGAAGAAAATTTCGCAACTCTTATAGCTTTCATTTTCATTTATAAAGTAAGTATTCTACATGTTTCGTGCAGATGTCAATCCTGTTTGAAATGTGAATGAAGAATGATATATTTCGTTATTCTAGTAAATTTTGAGAGATAATTTACAGACTCTTTGGTAAAGTAATACATGTTAAAAAAGTAATGTTGGTTAAACCATTTGCTGAAGTAGGCTAGTGCAAAACAAAAGCTAGATAAAACAACCATCGGAGGTGGAACGGTTTTTAAGTAGGATTTGAGGTTTTCATGGCTGTTATTCTGAAGATGGCTGTCTTCTGGGTTGTTGCGCTTTGTAGTCTGGTAGAAGTTTACTGACATTTCAGATGTCCTTGCTGCCTCTATCCTGATGGTGGAGGCAGCAAGAACCTCTGAAATATCAGTAAACTTTCACAAGACTACATGGTGCAACAACCCAGAAGACAGAAATCTTCATACTCATCGCCCTGATGATGGAGGCAGTATGACCTCCGAAACGTTGGTAAACATCGACCAGACTACACAGCGCAACAACCCAGAAGACAGCCATTTTCAACTGTTTTTAATGCCAACATCTGGCAACTTAAAAGTTTAAGCTTTGAAGGAAAAGTATTTGTTTACCACAATTTTGGTTATAGAGAAATGAAATTTTCTTCTGTTCATGATACAACCTTATAGAACAAACTCCACTTTAAAAAGCACAAATATTAACCCTTTAAACCCCAGTGGGAACTGAATGTACCATCTACTGGTAGCCTGAGAGAATTTTATTATGGTATATGAGATTTTAAGTATTTACAATGATGAAAATGTGGGTTGGTGTCTTCTGGGTTGTGATACCATTTTAATCTTATGGAAGGTTACCGCTGTTTTAAAGGAACACACCATTTCTATCTTCTACCCACAAGATGGAGGCTTTGAATTCTTCCAAAACATTGGTAACCACCTATAAGACTATTTGGTGTTGGAATCCAAAAGATTTAATTAAACAAAGTGGAAAATTTTCTAAGAATAATTATAATGGCTTTCAACTGTATAAAAGCAGTAATGCATTTATAAAGCATAATTTAACCATGTAATTTAACAGTTTTGGGAACATTAACTGCTGGTTGATTGAATGGGCTATATGCATTTTCAATTGGAAACACAACTGCATTAATTACATTTATTTTGAAAGTACGTGCGACAGAAGTGCAGTGTTATAAGCCATTGGGGGAGTGCGTTCATTTGAACAGGTGTTAATTTACTGGTGCCAGGGTAAAATTTACAAGTGAAATACAGTACAGTTGGTACTTTTCAGCCTATATTTCATATAATCTATAATTTAGGAAAACTGTCACATCAAACTTAAGTTTGCATGTTAATTACACAATCACATTTCTATGAATTTTTTTAGAAAAGTCAGTAAACCTATCTGAGAACTTTCCAAAATTTGTTTTACAGTTTCTCAACCTTTATAGGTGGCGACTGACTTGTAACATTTGCCTGTAATGTAACGCGTTACAAATCGAGCATTACACAAGTGAAGACAGCGAACGGAGCCGCTCGATGCGAGCCGCTTACGCTCGCGGGCGCTCCATCGTGTTGTCGGTTTTTTCGCGAATCCCTTTGAGTGTTACATTACAAGTCAGTCAGTGAGTCGAGCGGCGTCGTAACGAGCATTCACAAGTTCTTTAGATAACAGTAGCGTATTAAATGGAACAAAGATAACACAACCTCCATGTCCGACATATTGAACGAAATGAATGGAGCACACATGAGCACAGTCGTGCCGAGCGTTTAAAACAAGCATTCGATACGCCACACCAGTTGTGGTGTAATGTAACACGCTCGCCGCGAATGTTACATTACGAGTAAATGTTACAAGTCAGTCGCCACCTTATGACTTACCCTAGCATTGGCAAATTTATTGAAATATGAAGTAGGAAATTGACAGGTTATTCTGTGCAAATGATATTTTTTGTTGTTACATGTTTCAATATGGCTTTAAGTAGCAGCTACAAGGATGTGTTTTGCTGATGCTAAATACATTTGAAGGGTTGATATTTTAGTGCTGGAATAAATGTTCAATTTTTCAGGCTGTTGAGAATGTACTCGATATTGGAAAGCAGTTTCCTATCAATACTCATGGTGACGCAGTACTTAATTATGACTGTTTCTGCACATATACTAACAGGTCATCTTATCCTGAGAATGTTAACTGGACATATTTAAACAAGGAAGAATGTCTAGTAAGTTTATATTGGACTTTTTAGAATAGAAATATAGTTTAAGGCATGTAAATAGAATTTATGAACTATCATGCTGTAACTTTAAGTCATGCCTTCTTCCATTTGCTTTTACTTCTTCAAAGATTAAGATAAAAATTACAATTTTTGCACAAATAAGTTGAGTTCTAAAGGGAAGTGATATTTCAAAAGCAAAATAGTCAGATCATGTCTGCTGCTTAAGACACAGTCCATTACATGGTGAAGTCAGCAACAGAATATATGTATACAAGTCAACAGCCATATCTATTAGTTTAGATAACTACCTGAAGATGACCTTTTAAGGTCGAAACATTAAAACAATTGCTGTGGAGATTGATTGTCAACCTATCAGTTTCCAAAACATTGCTTAACACCAAAACATTCCAAATGGCCCTCACCTGAAAGCCAATGTTATACATTGAACTCGACCTATGAAAACCTGTGGACTAGAAAAGATAAGCTGTTGCCTCTTTCTCACAATAACATGCGAATTTCTTATAAAAATATGTGACATGCCTGAAACCTTTTGGTGGCACCCTGGTTACAGAACACTGGTGTAGAGAGTGAAGCTTTAGAAGGAAATTATGTACTGTATTGTGTAACAGACCGACGGTGGTCTAGCGGTCAGAACGCTAGCCTTGTAATCCTGGGGTCCCGGGTTCAATTCCTGGCGGTGCCCGAATTTATAACTTGTGTTGGGCAAGGCCGTGGTCTAGGCAACACGGAGTTTTCCTCCGTGGCATCCCAACAATTACTCCATTCACACACAGAAGAAGGCAATGGCAAACCACTTCTGGATCATCTGCCAAGAACGTATATGAACAGATCCCAGTCCGAGAAAAGGATGGAAGAAGGATCCTGTTCATATGGACCTGCCCTCAGACAGAACACTACAAATAAAAAAAATAAATCCCAACAATTACTCCATTCACACACAGAAGAAGGCAATGGCAAACCACTTCTGGATCATCTGCCAAGAATGTATATGAACAGGTCCCAGTCCGAGAAAAGGATGGAAGGATCCTGTTCATATGGACCTGTCGTCAGACAGAACACTACAAATAAAAATAAATAAATTGTGTAACATTGTGATTTTCCTTTACAGTTGAAGAATGGTACTATGATGGGTGCTGGTTGTGATACTCCACATTATGTGCCTGATGTATTCCTGATGTCTTTTGTTTTGTTTGTGGGAACATTCATAATTTCAGTACAGTTGAAGGATTTCAAAAATGCATTGTTCTTTCCATCAAAGGTAAGTAACATTACATTTTCTATTAAAATAAGCTTAAATCTTACATAATATTCTAGATTGATTTAATTTCCAGAAGCGTTTGTCTGTTTCTTAGGTCCGGCAATTTTTCAGTGACTTTGCTGTTATCATTGCAATATTGTCCATGACAGGATTGGACTTTTATGCAGGAATCAAGACACCTAAATTACAGGTAAATATTTGCCAGAAGAATTTTTGATAGAATTTTGTATGATGTTGATAGTAGAGAAATTCCCCAGTAATTACCACACTCAGTCTTGGCCCCCCTTCTTATGAACTTTCAATTGGCTAGTTAAACTTATCTAATCTAGGTTCTGGCACTAACAGATCAGCCATATGTATTTTAATCTATCTAACATCATCAGTCCCATGAATATTTAAGAGCTGGTTAAAGAATTTTTTCCACCTATTCAAAATTTTGATTGGATCTGTCAGTACATTGCCATTATCATCCTTTACCAAATTAATCCGAGGTTGATAACCTTTCTTAAAATTGTTTATGCCTCTGTACAGATGTCTGATACTTTTGTCCTTACTCTTTGTCTCAAGTTCAATAATTTTGCCTTTCATATATATTTCCTTTTCTTATTCCTAAATGTCCTACTAGCTTCACGTCTCACGTTACATTGATTATTCATACTCATTATGTTTGGGTCCTGCAAACAATGACACACCTCTCTCTTGTATTTTCAAAACACTACTGTGAGGTTTCCGCAGACTCTGTTTATAACATCTTCTTTCTTCATTTGAATGGTTTTGGGGCCAGAATTTGGCAGAATTCCATTCCTATTGTACTGAAAGTGCCACAGCAAACAATATGTCTATTATACATGCCTTCAGAAAAGATCAGGAGATGTAAAGTAGTTATCTCGTAGATACAACTTGTGGCCTGCATCTTTAAAACTCTCTTTTCAAGCTGCGTTATGGTACCATATTATCAGTGGTGTATTGATGCTGCTTTCCTAGGTAGGCCCCATGTACACCCCGTTCAATCGCAGAGCTTGTAGATTTTTGCGCCAAATCCCGTGCCCAGTACGTTAATTTTGTAGCCTTGAACAGATAAATAACATTATTGTGTAGGTGCCAAATGAATTCAAGCCAACACTGGAGAATAGAGGCTGGATTATTTCACCATTCAACAATAATCCAATATGGACAGCTCTCCTTGCTTTCTTGCCTGCCCTTCTTGGGACTATCCTTATATTCATGGATCAACAGATTTCAGCGGTTATAGTTAATCGGAAGGAGAACAAACTCAAGGTATGAAGTGAACTCTAATATAGGTTATATATATGTTTCTAAACTGACATGTATTTCCCTCCTTTTGAGCAGTTTGTGGTCCATCAACACTGCATGCCCAGATGGTTCTCAAACCTTGGTATGAGGCACAAGATGAATAGTATTGTACTCCGTTGTGCAATTACTTTATATAACATAGTTAACTGATGTGTAGGATAATGACCCTACTAGAGAACTGCATGCTTTTAAGTCACCTTTAATAAATAACACTATTTACTGGAGGAAGCTTATGATGACTCAGGACCTATCAAATGTACAGAAAAATAAAAGAAATATAATCCTACATTAATAAACAGGTCTTGGAAAACAATATTCTTGTCTGAGGTGAGTTCCTTTTTTGAGGCAGTGGGTACATGTTCAGAATAATCATTTGCATTAAAAAAACTTTGTTTAACTTTCCCAATTTTTTTAAATTGATGCTGACATTTCGGTGAACTTTTCCAACTGCGTTCTCGTGTGCCGTCCATAGAGTGGGCAGGTGCAGGCAAGTAAAATTGCTTAAAATCTACACATAGAGAAAAATATCTTTGTCTTATTATTTGAGAGATTAATCTTAATAACATATGATAATTGTAATACTTTAAAGGAATAATTAATTTTTTGTTACAGTAGCAGCATTTGGCATAATTTCTGAAGTACAAAAAGTACAAAAATTCAAAACTGTAGTATGTTTCATTGATTATGTTACTCAACTCACACACAGTCCTACTTCCAAACAGCAAATGTAGTTGTCCAGTGGTATGCACACATTTGTATTTGGGATGTCCTGGATTCAAATCTCAGCCCAGAGACTGGCTATTTGGACTGTGGACTTTTGTGATTTTCCTTAGTCCCTCCAAGTAAGTGCTGAGACAGTATCTTAAATTAGGCCACAGCAGCTTTCTTCCATGTCCTATCCATTTGTTATTCATTAATAATTTTGTCAGAACATCAACTATAAACCAAAAATAATAAATACATTAAAAAAGTGTTGTAATGTATTCTGTGCTGTATGAATCCTCTTATTTATTACAGAAAGGTTGTGGTTATCATCTGGACTTATTTGTTCTTGCCATACTTATAATTATATGCTCAGCTATGGGCTTGCCTTGGTTTGTGGCTGCTACTGTTTTGTCAATCAATCATGTCAATTCGCTGAAGCTAGAATCAGAATGTGCAGCTCCTGGTGAGAAACCCCAGTTTTTGGGTGTCAGGTATGTAATTTGTGTGGAAGTTACATTAAGTAAGTTTTGAGGTTTTCACAGCGGTGAGTATAAATCGTATTATAGAAACTTCTTTGTTATATACTTTGCTTGAAGAATCCGAGGCATTTTAAAAAAAAAATCCTAGGTATTCTATAGAATACCTAGGCAAAGTATGAAATATACTGTTAGTTTCATACATTGCCTAAAAGTTCTAAGCATTTTATAAAATGCCTGAATTTCATACTTTGCCTACCGACTTTAGGCATTCTATACATTGCCGAATTTCATAGTTTGCCGGAAACATATATAAGCATTAATAACGACATTTTCCGAGTGTGGACAGATGCTCCAATTAGGTAATGCAGTAACATTTTATTTTCTTATCTGGAAAAGGCTGCCGGATGGTAGGTGTCTTGCTGCATGTAGCATGAGTCTTTCCATATGGTTCATTTGCTTATTTCTCTTCTAAATAAATGGGACATTTGAATGTTTTGGACCTGATACTTTTAAGTAAGCAAAACTAAAGTGCGGTGTGTAATATTGTGCTGCAGGGAACAACGTGTCACTCACATCCTGATCTTCTTGATGATTGGGCTGTCTGTAGTGCTAACTCCAGTGCTGGGTAATATCCCCATGCCTGTCCTGTTTGGAGTATTCCTGTATATGGGTGTGGCATCTCTCAGGGGACTGCAGTTTGTCGATCGTCTTCTCATTATATTTATGCCCGTTAAATACCAGCCAGATCACATGTTCCTTCGACAGGTAAGCAGAGTTTTAAATTTCTGTGGTGATCTTCTGGCTTGTGATGCCTTGTATACTTGTAGGTGGGTACCAACATTTCAGAGGAATGCTTGTAACTGAACCCATCATGACATGAAGTGACCTCAACTGACCTGATCTTACCTGGCCTCACGTGACCTGACCCAACCTAACATAATCTAACCTAGTCTAGCTTTCCCTAGACTAACAACCAAACCTTGCCTAATCCAGCCTGGCCTAGTCTAAACTAACCTAGCGTATCGTAGTCTAACCTAGCCCAATCTAACCTGACCTAAATCTAACATAACTTAAACGAAATCTAACATAACTTAACCTAACTTACCCTAACATAATCCAGACTAGCCTAACTTAGCCTGACCTTATGTGACCTGACATAACCAAACCCAAAATAAAACCTAAAATGTAACCTGACTTAATGTCTACAGAGTGTATATCAACTCAGAAGACCACTGTGGACATCTTTACCACATGAGTACCTCCTGTATCTCATGAATTTGAGATTGCTGTATAATGTTAATTGCTCATCTAGCATAGGCCTTCTCTGTTTGCAGCTCATAGGGAACACAATACTATGATGCACCTTTATGTTGCATATTGTAGACAGAAACTGTTACTGTTGTGGACAAATTGCTACTATTATAACAATTTCAGTATTTCATTCTGTGAAAGTACTTAAGGAAAAGAAATGTTAGGTCTTCTGTAGCAATTGCGGCAGAGTGTGTGCCTGTGGTTGCCATGGGGTGTATTGAAGGGTTTTAAGGTACCCATGTATATCCTTTTTGTCTGTATTTTGTTGCTCCATTGTTATGATATAATAAAACCTTGCCTTAGCAGTGTTGTGTAATTTCAAAACTAGATGCTAATTTGTCAGTGAAAACTGAAGGCACGCTACTCATCAGATGATAAAGTCTCTTCCGTGACTTCCTTATGTCATTTCCACACTTCCCAGTATTCCAAGAATATAATTTAAATTTGCAAACCACTTTACAAAAACCATTTACCCAGTGTTTGCTATATGCTTCATACAAATGTTTATTTTTTATAGGAGATATTTAAAAATTAAATTTTAAGTATTAATACCAGAAAGAGAATTGTTACATTCTTTAAATTTCTTTGTGCGCCTTAGCATGATGTCATTTGTGTTTCAGGTGCCCTTGAAACGTGTACACATATTCACAATCATCCAGCTGACTTGTCTGGTGATTCTGTGGGTCATCAAATCTTTCAGCACAACCTCCATTCTCTTCCCTCTTATGGTGCGTATATAATAACACTAAAAATGCAATGCTTCTGCAAATGAGAAAATCATATTGTTTGTTTAATATAAGATTCTGTTTAAAATGTTGGCCACTTTCGTATAGTTGGAGTTGTTGAAAGTTTGCATTGTAACATGTCAGTAATAGGATTTGAGGTTTTCAAAATTATAATTGACTTGAAAATTGCTATCTTCTGGGTTGTGGTGTTGTGTAGTCTGGTAGAAGTTTACCAATGTTTGTCCTTGCTCCATCATTGCCTTCATGATATAGGCAGCAAGGACCTCTGTAAAAAAGTAAAGTTTGTCCCACTATACACCATGTAGGCGTTTGGGGGTGAGTGGAGGTATAGCTCCTCTCTTCCTTGATCTCGGCACTAGATGGGGGTGAGTGGTCAGCATCACGCCCCGGCCGGCTTTACCCCCGGGAAAGGACCCCGGTACCCATTGTAGAGGAGGCTGGGTGGGCCCCAGAGCCGGTCTGGACGCAGAGGCTAGAGGAAAAATCCTCTGCCCCCGTCGGGGATCGAACCCCGGTCGTCCAGCCCGTAGCTAGTCACTATACTGACTGAGCTATCCCGGCTCATAGCAAGGACCTCTGTAATGTTGGTAAATGTCTACCATACTACTTGGCACTACAACCCAGAAGACAGCCATTTTCATGTCAATTATAATTTTTAGTATGTTTCAAATTGCAATCTAAGAACAGGAACATATACAGAGGTTAGACCGAATGTGCAACCTCTCCCTTCTCTGTCCCCTTTATGTCAAAGGGGGGATGCATGGGGATTTTAAAAGATGAACGGGCAGGAGAGGAAAATAAATAAGTTGCTAATTGCTGTCCTGAAACGTTTAATGTTTTTGTGTACATCGTGAATGTACTATGTCTTACATAATTCACTGTGATTAACAATTAAGTTTCAGCAATTAGATTAAAATTACAATATTTGAAACTCATCTTTGTATTAGTGTAAACGGTAGTCACGTTGTTTTATGTTGGCTAAATAGCTATAATATTATAGAAATTAGGCTGAGTTTCTTGACTTTTCCAGTTGGTGGTGATGATTGGTATTCGTAAATTACTAGATTTTGTATTTACAAGGCGAGAACTCAAGATTCTTGATGATGTCATGCCTGAAACAACCAAACGGACTGAAGAGGAGAGAAGACAGCTGGCGGGAGAGGTGAGTAATAAACACAAATATTACAATTACCCGTTGCATTTTAAGATATGGAACCAACACAGAATTTATAGAAACTTATTAAAAAAATTATATAATTATATTCATGCATCTTGTTGATGTAGGATTTGAGGTTTTCATGGCGGTGAGTCTGAAGATGGCTGTCTTCTCGGTTGTTGCGCCATGTAGTCTGGTGGAAGTTTACCAACATTTAAAAGGTCCTTGCTGCGTCAATCCTGGTGGAGGTAGCAAGGACCTCTGCAACGTCAGACTACATGGCGTAACAACTCAGAAGACATCCATATTCACCTTATTGATATTTGTAAGAGGGTACAGGTAATGATTGTGTCACTGTCTCACACAACAAAAGAATAAAAGTTTGTTAGTCTTTAATGTTAAAGAGCTATACAGAGTTCTGATCACGTTGGACCATTTTCATGCTGTAGGTATATGTGCTATGAATGATTCCCACCTATTGCTATCATTTTTATTTGTTTGTGTTTGGAAACATACATTGTAATACATGTTTGGAAAATATTTGAACTCCACTGGAGTACACCTTTATCACTTGCATTACCAGTTCTTCATACCTGTTGTAATTCCTTTTCTTCCTTCCATATACTTTATAATATATTAAGCTGGAAGTATGTGTTTGTAATGGTTTATGTTAAACAATGTCATACTCTTCATTTTATTAGGAAGGTAAGGCTGATATTGATCCAACTGGAAATCTGCAAATTCCTCTTGCTAATGGCAATATTATTAAAATTCCTCTTGCTTCAATCAATATCTCTGAAGAGGTTAACAAAACTGGTATATGGAAACAAGTAAATGAAGGTGGCTCTGCTTACAAAGATGACAAGAAGAAAAAGAGTCCTAACAAGAACAGGTGACTTAGTAATACTTATGTTTACAATTATTGCCTAACACAAGAAGTTGAGAAAATATCTTTTGTTGGATTTGAGGTTTTCATGGCAGTGAGTCTGAAGATGGCTGCCTTCTGGGTTGCTGTGCCATGTAGTCTGGTAGAAGTTTACCGACGTCTCAGAGGTCCATACTTTAAATTTTATTACTGTGTGAAAAAGTGTGACATATTTATTTTCCAAATACCCAACCACTAGCAGGACATTATAATTTTGATTAATATAACAACAGTAAGAGATGCATAACATTTTTTATTTTTTAATAAATATTTAGTAGTATTGTACGTGAGTTCATTTACTTCTTAAACATTATTATAGGCTTACCTTCAATTGATTCTATCAGATTTCTGACCACCTCTATGGAGTAGAATATTTATTGTGAAATTGCTCAGCTTGTCAAGAAATTACACATTTTTTATGGAACGTGAAGGGTCATTGTCTTGTTCATGAGAGCCCACCACTGAACTCTTGTCCTGAAACAGATGAATGGAGTCCACATCCTCACCCTCTATTTCCTTAAATCCATCTTAATAGCATCCTGCTGTCCATACCTAGGTCTCCTAGGTGGATCTTCCTTTCAGGTTTTGCAATTGAATTGTATATGTATTTCACATGTATGTTGCATGCCCCATCCATTCCATCCTCCTTGATTTGATGAGTTTTCGAATATGAAATTTGAAGCATCTCATTATACAGGCATTGCTCGGGGATATTGCGGGTTCGGTTCCGGACCACCGCAATAAAGCGAGTCACACGAATGTTTTGGTTTCCCAGTGCATATAAAAGTTATGTTTACACTATACTGTAGTCTATTAAGAGTGCAATAGCATTATGTCTAAAAAGCAATGCGAGAACATTGCGAGAATTACCAAAATGTGACACAGAGACTTGAAGTGAGCACATGCTGTTGGAAAAATGGCGGCGATGGACTTGCTCAACACAGGGTTACCACAAAACTTCAATTTGAAACAAAACGCAATATCTGCGAGGTGCAATAAAGAGAAGCGCAATAAAACGAGGTATGCCTGTATAATTTTCTTCGTTATTCTACTTTCTCTGTCATAAGTTCAAACCTTTTCCTTAGAACCCCACCGGCAAGTGGATTTTAAAATTATAAAGAAATGAAAAAATATGTTGTAAGGCTCATGCACTTACTCCATGGAGCTGAGTCCTTTTTGAAAAGCCAACAGTCATTTAACCACTCAAGAAATTCCCAAAATGTTATGGATCCCAAACATTCATTACTTTGTTCACAAGATTCTGCCACTGGTCCCTAACCTGAGCCAGATGAATCCAGTCCACACCACCCCATCCTATTTCTCTAAGACCAATTTTAATATTATCCTCCCACCTACGTCTGGGTCTTTCTAGTGGTCTCTTTCCGGTTTGCCCACCAAAATCTTGTATGCGTTTCTCTTCTCTCACTTGTGGGCTACATGCCGTGTCTATCTCATCCTTCTTGACTTGATCAGTCTAATTATATTTGGGAAGGAGTATGAAGCTCCTTACTATGGAACTCTAGGCCAAAATATTTTCTTCAGCACCTTGTTCTCATACACCCTCAGTCAGTGCTCCTCCCTTAGTGTTAGAGACCAAGTTTCATGCTATAGAAAAACTACATGCAAAATTATGGTTCTGTACGTTTTAATCTTTACGTTTTAGGCAGCAGACGAGAAGACCAAAGGTTCTGAAATGAGTGGTAGCAAGCATTACATGAATTGAATCTTTGTTACTGTTGCTCCCAAATATCTGAACTTTGCCACATTTTCAAAGGATACATTAGCTATCTTTATGTTACAATTTTGCCCTACATTCTGCTGACAAGACATCAAGATATACTTAATTTTATCAGTGTTTACTTCTACACCAAGTCCTTACTAGCATCACTTTCTTTATGGTATTTATATTATTGCCCAGTAGATGTACATCATCAGCATAGACCGGTAGCTGATGTGTCTAATTCAGTTTCATTCCGACTTGGTTTCCTTGTACCTTCCTAATTACATATTCTACAATATTCCAAAGAATCCATCCCAGTCTGAGGCTATGTGTAACATTTTGTAACAATTTATTATTATTATGTTGAGGAATTGTTTTCCCCATGCCTAACCCCCAAACTGGAGTACCACCCCTTGTCACCTCTCTGTGAATGCTTATTAAATACATTTGCAGCTACACACCATATCTGGAGGTCATCTCCTCCATCTGCAACCCGAGGATGTGCCATGCCATGGCGACAAGGTACCCACAATGCATGGCAAGGTTCAAGTATTTCAGATAAATAATAATGTACTTCATGGATGTTCCTGTAACTGTAATATTTATTTTGTAGCCTTTTCTGGCCATTTGTCACAATGCTTCCACACGGTCCAACTTGCCATGCATCAGATTTAAAGTCTGGCCAGCAGCCCAGTTGTGCAGGGGTTTAAGCCCCTTTTCTTGTACAGTAAATCTGATATTTTGCGTAATCCTCTTTAACAGCTCAAAGTCCAAAAAGCGAGGAAACAAAAAGGATGCTGTAAGTGATGATGAAAAGACGAGGCTTTCCACAATGGCAGAAGAGGAAGAAGAAGAAGGATTGACAATAAAGGTGGGGATAGGCACTTCAGATTCCAAGGTCTAATCTACTGTACCATAATGATCTTCTCGAGACAACATGAAATACACAGTTTGTAAGTAGGCTGCGATACTATGGTAGCTTGCTCCAGCATGCTGTGGCCTCTGTGCATGTGCAGAGAAGCTAACCAGCTAGCTTTTGATTAAATCAGTTGTCCCGGTAAATTACAAATAATCCTCACCACGTAATAAAATAGAAATCAACATCATGTTTGTCTTTATCAGTTCTAGTTCTTGTATGTGAGGCAATTCTACCTATAACCGTTGTACTTGTTTACCATATTCACAGGTTATGTAGTAACAAGTGGTATAATGGCTGAATAATCAATAAGAAAGGATTTAGAAGCAATCGGGGCCATTTTAAGGAAATACCCCATCAAGTCTGAAAGAAATTAAGAAAACAACAAAGTAACTTCAGTCTGGATAGAAAATCTCAGCTGTGATTCAAACTCAGGCTGTCGTGAATACAAAGCAGAAACGCTAATCTCTCGACATAAATGGTATACGAATAACAAAATTTTATATAAAATAAAAACATGTGCATAACATGAAGCAGTGCTGATCTGTATGCTTATTGGATAATTTAACTACAGTAACTCCATTCTCACACTTTATCATTAACTCCATTGAGCAGGGCCCATCTTGAAAAGCTGTTAATAGCTATGCAGATCAATAGATTTCTACTGTTTCTGTAACCCAGAGTTTTATTATGGTGTTCACAAGTCCCCATTCAACTGTATTCTGATTCAGTTGAATCCAGTCCAGTGCTTCCCCCATTTCCCAGTTGCTATCTTTCCTTCAGGTTTTGTGACCCAAAATTGTGTATATACTCGTAGTTCTCTTATCCCCATTGTATTCTACATGTCTTACCAACTTTTTTTTTTGTTTTTGTTTCTCATAAGTTTCAAATTGTGTTTCCATAAGAAGAACTGTGCTGTAGATTCTCAAATCATTAGCATAATTCCTCCTACCTTCTAATGTAACCAAGTGTTCAAATTTATATATCAAATTTCATTCTGTTTATAATTTGCATATTGTTTTGTAGATGTATGCATATGCATTGAGACATTGCTTTTTATGGCTGTGTGGAATGCTGTACTAGGCAGGAGATCACAAAATGTAGATTCAATCGGGTTTTGTTTAATTTGAAAATATTTTCTATTATGATATTGAGGCTTTTCAACCCTCCCAGTATGCTTCATTTAAAAAACGAGTAAGTTTATAATCATAAATGTGTGTGCGTGTGTGTTTTTTCTTTATACCGCCATGTTGTTTTCTATTTTAGACACACATATATATATATATATATATATATGACCGCCACGGTGGTCTAGCGGTCAGAACACTAACCTTGTAAGCCTGGGGTCCCGGGTTCAATTCCCAGTGGTGCTCAAATTTATAACTTGTGTTGGGCAAGGCCGTGGTCTAGGCAACACGGAGTTTCCCCGGTTTCTCCGTGGCATTCACATCTGCTTTTGAATAATGCCAATTTTATCTCCAGTGAAAAATCTACATGGTGACCATGTTGAAATAATTGAAAACAGTGCTTTAAAAATATATGGTGTTTAAATGATCCCAAATGGCTTGAACTTTCTATTAAGTTAAAAGAAATCAGCAGACTTTTTCAGGTTAGAAAGGCAAAAAAAAAAACACACAAACAGATACACCCCCACTACCTTTCAAGCTGCTGCTTAATTTTGAAACTGCCTATAAGTCGATGGTGTTTTTATGGTTATGATTAGAAAGAATGTATATTCCTGCACCTGTTACTACAAATGTGATATTCCGCAGTTCAGTACTATTCTATGAATGATTGACCTGGGTCATTAATGTTGAGTTACGTTACGTGAATACTTCATGTAGTGTAATGCTTAACCTAAAATAAATTTTAATACAGAGTTGCTTATAGTTAAGATTACATGTATGAACATGATAAGGAAGGAGAGACAGAACATCGTAAAGGAATAAGAATTTAAGATCAACACAAAATGTTTGCATGTTTAAGCTGTTGTCTCATACTTGGTAACTGTAATTCCCATCCACCCATTTCTTCTGTCCCCTTTTTCAATCTGTCTGGTTACAAATTTGAGTCTTTCCAAATGGGCACTTTCACTCACATTTACTTATTTTTATTCTTTTTAATTTGCTTTGTGCTGATAAATAATTCAGACTATTTTTGTTACCATCTTACTTCTACATATTCATCTAATGCAAAGGTGTAGATTTCCACTTCATCAGGTTGTTATCCCACAGCTGTCAGAGCATGCCATTGTATTAATCTTTTTTATACCTTCATATGAAAGTATTTGAAACTATTAATGGATTTTTTTACTTTCCCTTTATTTTACTTTAACAAATATACAAAAAAAAAAAATTCACTTTCTCCAGCTTTATCTACCTCTGGCTTTCCAGGTAAATGGTGGGATAATTCAGTCAGATAGGATACATACATCCAATTTTAATTGTTTACTTATTTACCATTTATAATTATTTTATATCACTAACACTAAAAGCTTTTAATATAGAAAAGCATAATTATGTGTTCTTTGAGTGCCACTGAAGAAAGCAATGTGGGTTGGTCATGTCTAACTGTCTGTCTACCAAAGTGAGTTAACTTAGTAACCGTGGCAACCATGGTCGATGTTAACCAACGTTTCAGAGGTCATACTGCCTCCATCATCAGGGTGATTCTTAGTATGAATATTTCTGTCTTCTGGGTTGTTGCGCTGTGTAGAATGGTCGAAGTTTACCAACGTTTCAGAGGTCATACTGCCTCCATCATCAGAGTATGAAGATTTCTGTCTTCTGGGTTGTTGCGCTGTGTAGTCTGGTCGATGTTAACCAACGTTTAAGAGGTCATACTGCCTCCGTCATCAGAGCGATAAATTCATCTACCATAACACTGCACATCAACTCAGAAGACAGAAATCTTTCATCACCATTTCATAGATATTTACATAATAACATTTTCACTCTTCTTAAATCAAAGAATCAATCCGTTTTGTTCAGAATGTGTTATTTTATTGATAATAATTGACATTTGCATATTTTTCAAACATTCAGTGTATTTCTTATGTGTTTACATGAATCATTCTTAATTCTTAATGTGCCCTTTCTGTCTCTCCTTCCTTTCTGCATTTTGTTTAGTGTACAGTGGTTTGAAAAATAACTGAATAAATGTTTTCTGTTACAGATTGATTCATGTCTTGCCATTAATTATGGAAGGGGAAACGTCAAAGCAAATGGTTTGAATGCAGCTGAGACTTCAGTATAAATTTTTATAGATTAAACCATTTGTGCATTTGTAAAAAGTTGTAAAAAAAGTCCCACGTAACTACAATGTTATGTTAGTAAATGCATTGTCAAGTAAACATGATGACAACCTGTGTTCATTTTTAATGTTTTGTGGGAGATCTTTGTCATGTTGATATGTACAAGTAGCCTAACATTTGTTGCTTTGGTACCAAACTCAGACATCTAGTGATTCCCTTCACGAAGATAATAATAATAATAATAGTAGTAATAATAATAATATACGGTGCAGATTATCTTTAGCAAGAGTTATACTTAAAATTGGATTCTGCTTCTGTGTAGAGTGGGAATGATTTTAATCAACAGTTGTATGCTATAATCATTTGTTTTATGTATCTGCTGTAATGTAATTTGTCAGTCATGATGTCACTAAAGTACATGATTATATTTATGTGTTCTTGGGCTTAATTTTCTTCATACTGGTATAAAGAAAAATGGGGGAACTTTCTTCCATTTATACTACTGTCTAATACTTATATGTTTAATGCTAATTTAATTAGTCTAGCGAAACAATACAAAACTTTTGTCATTGTGCAATTTAATATTATAGAGATTTGCATTAGAACTTGGTTGTAATGCCCACATTAATGGGAGAACTGTTATTAATGATATGTGTAAGTTTGCCGATGTTTTGAGAATGATAATTATGCAGTTATATTTTACTTTCATGATAAAATACTCTAGCTGCTCTTTGAAGATATTGAAATTTATACTAATATGATATGTATATATTATTTAAATTATTTAACAAATAGAAAACATTTTTATCATTATTAGTAGCACTTCAGTTGTTTATGATAATACATGATATTCACCCATTATCATCTTATAATTCAGAGTGAGTGAAGGTATACGTACCATGGCGGTGGTGATCATCGGTCTTTGTGTTTGAAACTTGAACGTTTAGTTTGAATTTTGTATTTCTGAGATGTCATTTTCTTTTCTTACATTGAAATGCAGCTCTTTTTTTTTTTTTTTTGCCTGTAACCTGGTATATGCATTTTTTGTATATTAGTATTGTGATATGAAAGTTAATGAATGTCAGCATTATAACCAAGTTCTAATGTATTCATTTGCAGTATGTGCCAATGTGATAGAATAGATGGCAAATTGTTACTCCATTCATCATCAGTGTTAAATACTAATATCAGCATACGGTGAATATATTCTTGATTAAGTACACGCCCCATCAACACACATATCCTCCGTTGTACTAATTTTATCCATAGATTTTCTTTTATTTCATGGCACAGTTCATCTCTTTCGCGTAAAAGCTATGTCTTTGCTTCCAGCTTATGTTCGGAGACATCGTTTGGCTCTTTGAATGTTTCTCATAAAAGGTTCTGATAACAATTACTGGTACATTCCCCATTGAAGTAGGAATCAATACATTAACTGAAACTTAATGTGTAAGAAGTAACTCATGATTATCATCATTATGCTACTATTATTTATTTTAAATTTAAAATTGTGATATAGAAAAGTCTACTGATCTACTCCCATCCAAATTTTTTTTTAACTAGGTAAAATGAAATTGTCAGGATAATTTTTAAAATTATTAGGAACATCTGTATAACTTAGCATATATTTTATAGTATCTAGGAATTTCAGGAATGTGTCAGTAATGTTCCGTAGTTAGACATAAATGTTTTCTTCCTTGCTTTAAAGTAATTGCCATATTATTAATTTCTTAATTTGTTATTAATGCCAGCTACATGAGTTCCTTTCATTTACTTTACAAACCAACAAATCTAAATTAAGAGGGATCTTTTTAAAAGTAATTATCATAGTAATAGGAGGCAATACCAAATTATTTTAATATTCCTTAATTACAAAATTCAGATTTACTAGAGGTTAACAGGTGTTTTATTCAAAAGTTTTGTGATTTGTATAGATTAAAATTTACAAATTTTAGAATTTGGAATGAAGTTTAAATTTTGGTAAGATTTAGTAATAATTCTATGTATTTTATATAAGGAATTTTCTTAAAACTGTTTTAATATGACAGACTGAGGCATGAACAAATTGGTCCAGCCTCCTGCCTTCTCCCAAGGTTGTCAGTGACAAAGATGATCATTTGTCATTTTGCAGGATTATCCAGCAATGTAATTACACAACGTCTTAGTTTTATTATCCAGCTACAGAATGTTGTATCTGGAAGCAGCCCTGTTTTATCAGGAAACGTGAAGGATGAAGATGGAATTTTGTTTAAGATTGAATGGTAAATTATTCCAGCCATTCTGAAGTAACATGTAGACACTCCCTTGGTGGCAAAGAGTTTAAAGTTGTGCCACTAATTGTAATGAGGAGTATATGTTTAGGTAAAAAACATTTTCAGAGATTACGTAATTGAAGCTGGCAAATGAGGCATTTTGTACAGTCAGTGGCATGGAGATTATACTGTAACAACTGTAATGTGCCTGTTCATGAAACTAAATATTTCAACAAACATTAACCACTTCCGTATTGGTGGTAATCTGCTGTCATGCAACCACGTATCATGAAAAATGTAGAAAGATGGGCAGAACTCTTAAATTCAAGAATGGGTAATTTGTGCATTTTTTCTCACTTTTATAAAATTTGAAGTCTAGACAGAAGAACTGATCCTACCTGTGCATAAATTGCTATATTTTATATGCATGGATATTGAATTGAAATGCTCATATTTAATTTGATACATTTGAAGTTTTGCTGTAGTCTTAGCTCACAACTTAATTATAAAAGTTTCAGGCACGTGTAATTATTTGAGAACACACATGCAGACCTGAAAATTAGCATCGGAAACAAATAGAATAATACAAAGCTTCAGTCCTTAAGAAACCCTAAGATTTGTTTTAATTTGAACACAAATTAGTAGATAATCGGAATATCTTGGCAGAACTTATAAGCATTTTTTGTCTTGTTTTTAAATTTCAGGAACACGTTTGAAATTCACTTTATATGTACTTCAGTATTTGACTGCATGGAAAACATTTTGTTATGTGTTTGAAATGTTAAATTGATACACTGGTTACATGTTTCATGTAGCAATAACATGTAATTTTAAGCCTTTTACAATAAAATATAAATATTGTAACGTTTTCAAAATGCATGTTCTCATTTTGAATTACGTGATCTGGTGGCAGAGGAGGGAAAGATGGTTTCATGTCCTAACTTGTATAGATATCTAACAACTGGAATAAAAGAGTAGCCAAGGCACTTTGGAAACCGAAGGATTGTCATACCGAGGTGGTATCATGTTGCGGTAGATCAGCATTTCCCAAGCTATTTTCCGAGGAGAAATCCCCAAAATAATTTTTTATATCCCAAGGAACCCCTACCTATGGAAACGTTTACAGGCCAGAGAAGGTTGATAGCAGGGAGTGCAATTCAGTTACTGTTAAATTATTGTCAAGAAACTATTTGTAAAGAGCTGCTATGTATATGTCAGCTTACTTTGTAAAAAAAAAAAAAAATTGAAGAATTTTTCCTCTCTCTTTTTGTGTTATATATATTTGTTGAAATATCAAAATATAAAATCAATATAAGGTTTACTTAAACATCAAAATAAAGTTCAAGTCCGAAGTAAATATGAGATTTACTTTCAGTGTGACATTAGGGCTTGTTTCTTTTTGTACAAATGTTGAATTCTTGGCTGAATTTTTGATAAACACTCGCAGTTCTTCCTCGACAGACAGGAGAGGGTTTTTATCTTTGCTTTTAATGTTTGTCAGACATGAGAAAGGTTGTTCACAGAGGTAAGAAGTTGAAGACTGCAGTAAGATGTTCACTTTTGCTGAGATCACAGGATACAGGTAGCCCTCGATTTACGCCTGGACGAACAGGCGTAAATTGAAACTCTTATAATGTAAATCAATGGGAAGTCAATGACATGCGTTCCCAGAACCCAAACATTGACAAGTAATAAATATAATGGCATTACATTTAAAGCTTTGAAATAACGTAAATAAAATAAAGGGAATTTAAAAAATATATTATATACACTTACAATCGGCGATGGCGTGATGAGGCCGCGTTAGTTCTGACGAAGTCCCTGGTTGAGGATCGTCATGTTTTTTTAAAGAAGTCGTGCAGTGTGGACTGTCGTGATTTCTTCTTTCTTTCTTTCAAAATTTCACCATGAGGCCTCATATATGCCATAACGCTCCTCTTCGCCGTAGCACAAGAGCTAACTCACATGCAAAAGTTTGCATTTCACAAACAGCTTTTATCGATTCATCGATCTCATTGCAGCAAATTCGCGTTCACGAAACATACGTAATTGCAGAGATGACTGTATTTATAATCTTTATTCAAAATCAGCGATGTAAGAATTACGATTTAAAATAAGAATCAGTACGAGAAACATTGTAAAACGTTATAAATAATAGTAAAATATATTTTTTTCACTTTTTGACTTGCTGGTTTCAAAATCGGCGCAAATCGAGGGCTACCCGCATGTAGTGATAGTTTCTTTTGTTTAGCTTATGACAGGAATACTACAGCTTCAAAAAATGATCACCTGGATATCTCAACCTCTAGATTTGCCAGTCATTTGCAACACTGGATTAAATAAAATAGATCCTCATCACAAACATTTTGGCATTCAATTAACAGATGAGGTAAGCCATTATATTTCAGATACTGGATCTGTATGTGGGTATTGTTCTTTCCTAGACATGGAGTAAAATATTGATCTAACAAAAAATGAGTTTCATTACCTTAGCAAAAATATTTTCAAGATCATTTGAAATATAATAATAAGCATACAAACAAATTGTTAACACTATAAATGACATTAGTGCCAAATGAGTTTTGACCTCAAGAGGTCATCAGTGGCAAAAAGGGGGAATTAATTCATATAATATGGTCAAAAGAATATGGTTTTAAACATCATAAAGGTGAGTTCTTTACAAAATCGTATTAGGTAACACTTGACTGGATGTTGGTTTCACAGGAGTTTGCTTCGTCGAAGTTCACGGGCACAGACGACACAACTCCAGCTCGCCGCAGACCAGCAATGGCCACCAGACTGGTGGACTAATAGCAAAGTGCAGAATACAGTACACCAACTCCTACTACACGGTATACAAAGTTTTAAAATCATTTGAAATTAGTTGGAATGGTGAGATTCAAATAAGATATATCCTAAACATATGTAAAGTTTTACCAATGCCCCAACATGCTCGGTGGGACAACTTTAATATGCATGATTCAAAGCTGATATTTACTAGGTCACGGAATTTTTAACTTACAACTGTATACAGTGTCTCCATGTTTCTGTGCAGGGTGCAAATATTTTTAAAGCAAAAGTTAATATAGAAGTGCAGTGGGCATCAGAACCAGTGATTGTAGCCATCGAGAGAAATGGTGGTGCTATTACTAAGAGAGCTTATATTGTTCACAGTCTGTGGGCTGTAATCAATCCTGAGGGATTTTTCAAGAAAGGTATGTGGCAGCTGTGAAATATAGGATTTCTGTCTTCTGGGTTGTTGCTATTTCAGATACTGGATCTGTATGTGGGTATTGTTCTTTCCTAGACATGGAGTAAAATAT